ATAAATTATATACATATTTGTGTGTTTAAAATTCATTTATCTCTATGTATTATTTACGTTTGTAGTACTCACTTTGGTCGACGACGGGGCGTTCCTAAGGAATTTAATTAAAGACTTAAAAAAGTGGGGAGGAATTGTTATTTATTTTTACCTTCGTTGTAATGCTTTTCTTAATTTTTTTTTAGCTTTTTTTATGTTTTTTCTGCATTGTGTTTGGTTTCGATTTATATAAATTGGTTTTGTCATATCTGATAAATAACGCAGTAATTTTGTATTAACATAATTATCTAAGAAACCGATAAAACAATATTTCAATAAGTTTGATTTATGTAGGTTTAAGACACATGTACATATGGAGTTATTTGATTTACTCTTTCAACCTTTAAAATATATAATTCAAAGTATTTTATAATAAAAAAAAAATTATTTGTGTTAGGTTTCTTAACAATTTGTGCTAAATTGGGGGTTTTTAACGTACGTATATATATTTATATGAACAGTATATCCTATGTAAGTAAGTGGAACAAAACAAATACCAATTCTGCATCATAACATTCCTCTACCGTCGATGACAAGGGCTTTTTTGGCAGAAGAAACAACAATGTCGAAGAAGATATACTATGGATATTGTAGTRGATGGGTTTATCGCTTTGTCTTCAGTTTCTTACGAACGAGGAGCTCTGCGCCTATGGTCAATTATTATCATTATAACTGAGTTGTGTTTCAGTTTTTATCAGCAAACTGCAATAACATTTAGTTATAGACTAATGTTTGCATGTAGCGGAAGTTGTATAAACGACAAAATTGCTTTTCAAAGACGCCCAACAACTATAAAGTTCAAAGAAAGAAACATGGTTACGATATAACATTGTGAGAAAGACTTATTCAGTTATGCTAGAGTACTATTATTATTTTAGAATTAAAATGTATAAATATATATTTATGTGTAACTATTTTTATGCATTTTATTGCGAGATATACGAGTATGTGCTTAATCAATTAATTGCCTATAAATATAATGATGATGTGTAAGTTCCATGGTAAAGGCGATAAAACATTTATTGGGTATTCTAAGCTTAGCAAAAAGTATGTGGTAGGTTTTTGAAACCGAAATTATGAAATTAGAATAGCCTGCGATTTTGATTACAAATAAATAAAAATTTTGGGAATTCAAAATTTTTTTTTGTGCTTAAAAATATTGCAGAAAGTTATGCAGACTAATATAGGGAGAATTTTCATAGTGGGAAATATATGTACTGTATAAATAYTAATTTAAAATTTCAGCAAGCGCGTCTAAACAAACAAAATTATTATGATGAAAAATTAAAAAACTTAGTAGGCCCATGAAAATATTATAGCTTGACTTGCTAAGACAAAATAAATGTGTGTATATTTATTTCTTTTGAAGGCATTGAAGTATACATCTGTAATACACATACTCGAACTTTTACGTTGAATGTGCAGACATGATAAAATTTGCAATACTAAAATCAAAAATATTCAGTGGAGGTCTCTCCACTACATGAAAAATATGTCAGAAACTATTCTAGAATAATTTTTAATGGTGGTRGTTTCTCCACATTTGTAATATATTTATAAATAAAACATACGTAGCATATAAAATTGCGCAGCTGCCTTTGAAATCAACATTTCGAAAGAGTGAAATGGCTATATGATCTTTGGACGCTTGCTTATTCAAGTAAACATCGTGTAGAAAAGATTTACGAAAGTCTGACTAATTATGTATATATTTACATACGTATGTATGCATACATTAAAAATGTAATTGGAAAACAAAATAATGGAAAATTAGAATTTCGCAATATTGCGATGAAGCAAGAAGAAACGACTTCAATATACATAATATATGTATATGTATGYATATATTATATATCATATGTAAATGACGAAGAATTACACGAACACAGATAYATCAATTGCTACTGAACGAATAAAAACATTTCACAGACTTATTATGTATAATATGCGCTTGTTAAATAGAGAAAAATTACGTAAGATATGCGTTGTAGGATAAATAATCTATAATTACGAATATCTAATATATGTATATGTGAAAAAACATTACGATGTTTTATATATTTACTTAGTTATATATATAATGTAAAAAAAAATCGAGTCAACTTCATTTCTTTTTGTACCTTACTCATCTTCCCAAATCCATTGGATTACTCATGCTTTAGGCTTAACACAGACATTTTTCAACGCAGCTTTCTGCCCGAAATCGTTTGTTACGCCTGCCTCTCAATTGTTCCCAACACTTTGTTGCCCATGTTATAAGCCTGCCTAATTGGTAACTAGGGTACGCAGTAACAGCTAATTGACGGCCAAGTGTGTTTAAAAAATCATCCAAAAAAAAATCGGCCCTGTGCCTAGATTTCATCTGTTCTCATTGATTTCCTTAAAGCTCATGCTTAAGTTACGTCGCCTCTGCTAGCCTCCCGGTTCTTCGCCTAGCCGTACTTGCAATTTCCTCACTAAAGCCCAATTTCCGACAGCCATTTGCAAAGAATTTTTTTTCCTCTTCGTTCACACTATTAGAACACTTCTTCAGCTACCAATACACTTTTTCACAATTTAAATTTTTAATATTTTCAAACACTTTGCTGTACGACTTAAACACAAATGATAGAAGGCCAACTGGCGCTGCTGTATTTATACTCGTTGGCTGTGCAGCTCGGAAAAGTCGGGAAAATTCCACAGTAAAATCGCYTTTATTGATTTTCGTTTTGAGTCTACTTGTCTCACTTCAATACATAGGGTKTTTATGTGTTACTTTTTCTGTGTAAGGTAGCGTTAAGCGAGAAGGTATACTGACTTTTGGATCGTATTCCGCTGACAAACGTACATATGTACATGCATATGCACGTATGTATAAGAATCACCTGGATCAATACGATGAACAATGAAATCACCAAGTCATTGTGAAATTTTAATAATCATGCCAATATTATAATTGTTCATATATTATTTGCTCATTTATGGGGTTTTATAAATTTTAATTACAAAAAATATGTTGAATATCGCTACAAAAGCAATAATAAATCATAAAAATCTCGCATGTAAGCTTGTGCTCTCAGCCTGCATTGTTTCCTTAAATATATTTATATGTATGTATTATTTTTTATATGTATGTGCGTATCTACAATTTATTACAGGTGTACAGTCACCTCTTTCTTTCGAATGAGAAATGCACACATTTATTTTTATGTACATATTTTAAATCGTTCATTCTGGCAAAGTGGAAGCCGTTTTGTTTTAGCTACGGGGTGCCAGCGAGTTCTAGAAACTTGTATAATGCTCTATATATTTTCATGTATGCATGTACATACATATATGAAATATAACAACCAGCGATTTTAAAATTTTATTATGTCCATTGATTAGTTATTATTTACATATGTACACATTAATACATATATTTTCACTGCACTGTAATTTGCGYTTAAACTTCGTAGCAAAAGAGTTTAATTCCAGATTTCAACCAACGAAAATCTGTTTTCCACAATTTAATGAATGCAATCCTCATACTCACAACCATCCTTCAAGGAAGCTTGACTCAAAATTCAGCAAACTCAGTAAATTTCAAATGATATACATATTAATRCATATGTAGATACACATATGTCCATAGTTCAAAATAAGGATTATTTGAGATTTTACGATATTTTAAAGAACTAAGTAGTTATGGAACACTCGAATTTGCCTTAGTAATATATAATATTAAATTCAATAGCAAATATGCATGTTTTTACTGTTTTATTTAAAATTGGAATAAAGTTAATTTTACATTATAAAATTACATATATATATATATATATATATATATTATTTTTGTAATAAAATATTGCAATTCTTTGTAAACTTTACAACTTTTTTGTACTTTTAACCTATGCAACCTTTGCATAGTAATATAACKATGTATGCAGATAAAGTAGAGCTGTTCCTAAAAACCACTAAATTCTTACAACGACTTTTGAAATTAATGATTGGATTATTTTAAATTTATTAYTTCAACAGAGAACAAATGTTTTAGTCGGCGAATTCAGCGCTGGGTAATGCGTCTAAAGCAATATATTAAATATTGAGGGATATACATATGTATGTATGTATTAATATATTTATGTACATAAATGCTCATTATCACTTAAGTGATTAGTATATATTTATTAGATAACTCTATAGCTCTATAATTATATTCTAGAAAACTTTGATCTTTAGTTAAAAAAAAAATAAATAAATAAAAATTTATAAAAATTATTCATTAAATTTGGTTTTCGAAATTGGTGCCTAAAATCATGCTATATATACATACGTATTTGCTTGGTGCAGGAAACGAGATATACATACTTATGCACATTATTGCACTTTTGTACAGTACACAAAAACAACCCCTAAAAGCAGTTTATGCACACCGATTTATACGGTGGGTTTAGACGTTCAATTTTTGGCATTCTCATGTTATCAAGAAGTATACTTTCTATACGTTAAGGCGCTTATTTATTCATGCCGTTAACACTGAAAAAATTAGTTCAAGTAGTTTAGTTAATTCTGAAAAAGAGCTATATGCGCAATGCCGCTTAAGAGAAAGCCGTAAATAAATTGCATATTTATTGTCATAACCATATATATGCAAGACTAAGCCCAATCAGTATAAATCAAAATGAAACCTTTACCAGATACGAGTAAATACACAAATTAAATATATTTCATTTCTCTATTTAAAAAGACACTCCGTTAGTAAGGAAGGAGATTTCAGCTTAGTAAAACCCATTTTTTGAAATAATTATTTGGAACTCTAAAAAAATTAAAAGATGTCCAGACAATTCAATTATGTTCGCTTCTAATTTCCTTTTAAGTCTCTACGACTTTGTATAAATGTTTCTTATTACGATTAAATGCTAAATAATTATTGAAAGGTATTTAATATTATATAAAATGTATTCAACACACATATGATGTGAATATAGGCATATGTCCTTTCAAGTAATGAGTAAATTATATTATTCTCGGAATCGAGATAAATGTTGATAAATACTGGGGATGCTCTCGAAATTTAGTTGCGTTGTACAAACCAACAAAATCAAGAAAAAACCTTAACTTCAGTTGCGCTTAAGCTAAATTACCCTTGACAAACAAATTTTTCATACATGAACTGGATTTTTATCGATCCATATGGCAGCTACATGTTATAGTGATCCGCCATAGACAATAATTCATGTCAAATTTCAAGAAAATATAATAATAAAAATAAAATAAAAATAAAAACAATTTCCTTACAAAAACAGATCTAATCAGCTGCCATATTTCGTTGTTTAGAGATGCATATAATACAAGAATGAAAATAAACATGTCGATAACAATGATTAAACTTTTTATAACGCAATCTAAAAGCACAATTACTAATAAAAATAAAATCTTGACTTTGAATTACAATAGTGTTCTATTGTAATATGTCACGTACACGTGTACATATTAATGTGAGTAAAAAATATTTAGACTTAACTTTAATTTCAATTACGCGCGAAAACCCATTCGTCGAAATATATTTTTTCTATGGTGGTATGACTGTCAGTGACATCTCTCACATGATTGAAAATATTATATTCAACAAAGACATTCCATTAAGTCTTGTGTGCGGAATCAAATTTCTGATGACGAAGCGTTCAGAATGTTCGCTGATAATTGGTTGTCGAGATCAAATATWTTTGATTGGTACAAWTTATTCAAATAGAGTCGAGAACGTTTAATAGTCAGAGGTCTTACTGGTTTCGTTGAAATATGAGAAGGATTAGTACATACCACCATTTTGAAAGACCAAAGTGAAAGCACGATTGGTTTCAAATTCACTAAATTTTTTCGAAAAACAGTGTAGCGTTGGCGTCTGTGAAAAAATGCTTTCCGACTACCAGGATGTCATAAACGTATTATTACTGGCGATAAGTCTTGGATCTATGCTTACGATCCGGAAACAGCCGATCAACCGGCCGACCAACGTGGTGAGCCGTTCGAGGTATGGTGCATTCCAAATTCGTTCTCACCGTCCAAACTGTCAACAAGGAATACTATTTGAGCAGTTTGCACGAAGCCATTCATAAAAAGAGGTCGAAATTATGGGCCGACAACTCTTAGTTTTTGCAATACACCGTCACTCACTGCATTGTTTTTGGATAAATTTTCCACCAATATCGTGCCACAACCACCGCATTCGGTTGCTTTAGCGATGTGTGATTTCTGGCTTTTTGACAAACTCAATCTACTCCTCCAGGAAAACCGTTTTGAGTCAATTGAAGATATTACACGCATCGTATGTTATTTCGAAAACTTTAGCTCAAGTGTATTGGTTCCAAGGGGGATTACTATGAAGCGGACGACATAGATATGAAGCATTAATTACGAATTTTAAAGGTACGAACAAAGCCTTACTATTTTTGGTTTAATTTCTGATATGAGTTATGCTAAAAAACTCATAAAAGTTCTAAGTTGCCTTTCAATGCGCCGAGCCTTATTTCTCGAATTCACTTTATATACCAATGTATCTAATAATTAATAAATTTAAATAAAATAAAAAATCTTGAAAATATAATGGTAATAAAAAAAATAAAAAATTTTAAAATAAATATGTACACTCAAATCTTTTTTCTCAGTGCAGTTCCGGGCTATATATATGTAAGTATGTATGTATCTTGACTACCTCCAAGGTGTTTGAACTTTTGGCCGCATTTTTGTTATTGTTCTACGGCAAAAGTAAACTCTGTGTTTGCTTGTGAGAACCAAATGAAATAAGTGCAGAGAAGTGGGATACTCTCCGACAGCTGTGAGAGACAATTTATTAGAGCGTCGAGCTAAACAAGGACACAAACGCACAACATAAGGACATATTAGACTGGTGTGATTTTGTAAGAGTAAATTATCGTATATTACAAAAAACGTAGTTATGTACATATTTTCATGAATATATATGTGGCCACATATTGATGTGTGGTGAGCATAACGAAATTGTTTGTTACACTATATTGTAAGCTTCACTGGCACTGGCTCTTTCCAAGTGACGTTCAGATGAAAAGGACTGAGATAAACAACTTGTCAGCCAAAGTAATTTTCTACTATTTGACAAATTACAAGAAAATATACTGCGAAATGACTTTATTTGTTGGCGTTTGTGACAAATGACCTACACGTTTATGTAGCTATGAGAGAGTCAAAGATTTGCTGCGGTTATTTTAATTTTTATTAGGTAATGCAGCTGTATGTTTTGGGAATATTTGTGTGGTTGTGTGTATGTAATCGCTTGCTGTGAATAATAAAATTGGTCCAGTAGGCAGAGAACAGGGCACAAAGTTGACTTAAACTATGTGCGAACAAGCTTACATTGATTTTAAGCATACGGATATATGAGGCACGTTATGAATTTCATTGTAAATAGCGGAAATAGTTGCTTGTTTGAAAACAGTTTCTTTTTAATGCTATAAAGTAGGAAGAGATAAACAATACTAGTGGGAAGTATATAATACCCAGTAAGAAAAACTGGAGTGAGGGAGTTGTATTTTTATTTAATGCATAATTTAGAAGTGGAATGCATTACTTAAATTAATTTGATAAAAAACTAAAATAAAATATCAAATTATTATTCGATGCTGATT